ATTTTATCGCATTTTTTTTTTAGATACACTGGGAATACATGATATCTCATCAAAAACCCAAAAGTTTCCTTGATGGAGAACTCCCCTCTATTTGAGACCATAGCTCCCTCACATATCGTACCCACCTAGTCACTTTCTTAATTGGTCGGTGCACTTTGCAACAGTTCATGGGACCCCTTTATGGGTATCGAGCCTCGTATTGATATGTCCTGGAATCAGAACTTTACCATTAACATAATCATACGAAGAGGGGTATACTGACATATGACCTATGGAAAAATCCTAGCTGACCTAAAGACATTTGTGACACACGTGCACTGCTTATGGTCTGTAGGAAATATATGTTTCACCCTCTACCAATAGGCACTAATGATATATTGCAACAGTCATATAATTATTCATTCGGAAGTCAACTCTATGTTTATGGCAGAAGCAGAGCCCAAAGCTTCCTGAAGCAGTACTTGTTGTAGTTCCTCGGAGGGAAAATACATTTCAAACTATTGCCAACACAGACATTAGACAAGAGTAAATATTCGTTCACATTATTTCCAGGAAATTTAAATGGTGTTTATCCTGCATCTCAACTGACTGTTTTGTGTTAGTTTTTCCTAAAATGTTATATACACGTACATGTATATAACTATGGAAATATTGCAACATCAAGAAAGCATGTGTCTGGAGTACTTTCAGTACTTTGATTATCAATAATATCCTCATTAATTATCAAATCCAATTACATATATCACTGCTGATAATTTAAACATATTTGTATAAAAACAAAAATATGAAATATATAGACCTACATTCTCTTTCACCACTCCGCAAACATACTCACCCACACAGCCGCACATACTCACCCACACACACAAACACATAGAGAGAGAGAGAGAGAGAGAGAGAGAGAGAGAGAGAGAGTGAGAGGTTTTATATTACTTGTATAACTTGAGGTTACAGTGAAATTACATAAACAACAAATTGATTAACATATCAATTAGAAAAGTATCATAGATTATTTCTTATTCTTTTCTTGTCAGGGGTTGGGTGTTATTTCTAGCAGCTTATTCCATTTTTCCATATATTATTAAACTTTGCTACATTCTCCTTACCCTTGTTTTAATGCTGACACAGATAAAGTTTGCTGTAAACATCTTGCTCTATAGATGTATTGTTTCATAATGATTAATATAAGATTGTCTGTTGTGTAGTATATTTTTAGGTCACCTGAGACAAAGTCTCAAGTGACCTATTGCGATCGCCTTTTGTCCGTCGTCGTCCGTCGTGCGTCCGTAAACAATTTACATTTTGGATTCATTCAATATGTCCATAAACCCATTGTTGTTATGACCTCATAAATGTTGAAAAAATAAAAATCATTCCTTAAATAATAACAGAACTGTGACGTTATCAGCAATGGACTTGCAAAGTAATCATAAATCATGTTATTACCAGTACTATCAACCAATCTTTATTGATATAATTGAGCTGAAAGCAGAGGTAATGTAAACATTTCTATAGTAAGAATAAAATCTGTATCTGTTATTGGAAGCAGAGACGTATAATACAGTATTATATCGCTCATCTTACAGGTAGGCTTCCTGTGTGGTTACCTGTGTATCTATTATTGGAAGCAGAGACGTATAATACATTATTATATCGCTCATCGTACAGGTAGGACTCCTGTGTGGTTACCTGTGAATCTGTTATTGGAAGCAGAGACGTATAATTCATTAGTATGTGGCTCATCGTACAGGTGGGCTTCCTGTGTGGTTACATGTGTATCTGTTCAGCGCGACATATCAGTAAACTGGAGCGATGTGAAGATATAATTTTAATTAGATTGCGTACAGATAGGCTTCCTGTGTGGTTACCTGTGTATCTGTTATTGGAAGCAGAGACGTATAATACATTATTATATCGCTCATCGTACAGGTAGGCTTCTTATGTGGTTACCTGTGTATTTGTTATTGGAAGCAGAGACGTACAATACAGTATTATATCGCTCATCGTAAAGGTAGGACTCCTGTGTGGTTACCTGTGAATCTGTTATTGGAAGCAGAGACGTATATTACAGTATTATATCGCTCATCGTACAGGAAGGCTTCCTGTGTGGTTACCTGTGTATCTGTTATTGGAAGCAGAGACGTATAATACATTAGTATGTGGCTCATCGTACAGGTAGGCTTCCTGTGTGGTTACATGTGTATCTGTTCAGCGCGACATATCAGTAAACGGGAGCGATGTGAAGATATAATTTTAATTAGATTGCGTACAGGTAGGCTTCCTGTGTGGTTACCTGTGTATCTATTATTGGAAGCAGAGACGTATAATACAGTATTATATCGCTCATCGTACAGGTAGGCTTCCTGTGTGGTTACCTGTGTATCTGTTATTGGAAGCAGAGACGTATAATGCATTAGTATATGGCTCATCGTACAGGTAGGCTTCCTGTGTGGTTACATGTGTATCTGTTCAACGCGACATATCAGTAAACTGGAGCGATGTGAAGATATAATTTTAATTAGATTGCGTACAGGTAGGCTTCCTGTGTGGTTACCTGTGTATCTATTATTGGAAGCAGAGACGCATAATACAGTATTATATGGCTCATCGTACAGGTAGGCTTCCTGTGTGGTTACCTGTGTATCTGTTATTTGAAGCAGAGACGTATAATACATTACTATATCGCTCATCGTACAGGTAGGCTTCTTATGTGGTTGCCTGTGTATCTGTTATTGGAAGCAGGGACGTATAATACATTACTATATCGCTCATCGTACAGGTAGGCTTCCTGTGTGGTTACCTGTGTATCTGTTATTGGAAGCAGAGACGTATAATACATTACTATATCGCTCATCGTACAGGTAGGCTTCCTGTGTGGTTACCTTTTTTCTGTACATCTAGGGTTTTTACTGCGATAAATATGTCACCATTACCCTCATAGGGCAATATCTGTCTGTACATGTAGGGTTCTTACAGCGATTGTATGATACGTCTCTGTTGGAAGGATAGGGTAAACTGGAGCCTCCAGAACTGGTGTTTTTAATGAAATCAATATATATGGCATCAAGGGATTAACACATTTGCAGGTATAGAAAAATATATCACATGGTAATAATGCGTGGTGAATTCCGACAGTCATGATATTAGTACAGAGTCTACTTATATATTCTTGAAGATATTTCTTGTCCAAACAACGTTGCCTCAAGTTGTGTAACGGAGTTTACCGTTCGAAGGGAAGTAACCCAGGTAAGTTTATATGGTATCATTGTCGTACCGCAAGTGGAGATAAAAGTTTCTTCCGAAACTTGCACTTCATGAGATGGTAAAGTAATGTAAACGTGATATACTAATTAGGTTCGTAGCCAAGTTGAGATTTAATTATACACTTCAGGTGACCATCTTGCGTTCGTTTCTAAAACCAAATTCGTATTTTCCTTAATGACTTAAAAAGAAAACGATCTTAACGGCTCTATCGAATAAAATACAAATGCGAGAAACCGTTCGGTCTATAGGAATACACGTGTGTATGATATTTACGCACTAAATATTCATTTTAGTCCTGTAATCACGAAACTACGCTGTGAAATTAGCGGTTAAGTTTAAGGAGATCCGTCTAACGACAGAGGACACATCTGGCCTGTTGCATGACTGAACACTATCTAACTACTAGGGGGCCGGACCGGGAGAGGCCGGAACGACTTGATACGTGACTGAACACTATCTAACTGCTTGAACAGCGCCCGAGTTTACTCCCATAACATGAGAGGCCGCTGGTCGGCCTTTTTTCAATCGGATATGATTTTGCCGACTGCGACTTTACTCGGCGCCTGTCAAAAGTGTAAAACCTCTAACATTGTTGGAGTACGCCTGAGTTATGCGACGGTAGGCTACCTCAATTATTAAACAGGTGGATTGATACAAGTAGCTCTTGATGAATTTAATGAAATTCAGATCGGGTGAAAAAAATCCTAAGATTGATCAGCACGGACATAATCATCGGACACGGGTACTTATCATTATCATGTTATTGATGGAGCCCCTGCACGCTAAAGAAGAAGAAGGACTTAGATAAAGGTTGATTAGCATCTAAATTGACTTGCTTTCCGCCGTTATCCACCACAACCAAGCACGCTACACGAATCATATCGTCTAGTCACCAGTTTCCGCGCGTTATGTATTTCCACACAGCCATTTTATCACGCTATATCTCGTAACTACGTGACCTGCTGGACACAACACAAGGATATTTTAGACGTTTGGCCATCGTCTGTAAACTGACACAAAAATTACCGGAAGTTCGTCCGGAAAACATAAGAAATAATCACCGATTAAAAAAACACGCATAGATATGCAGTTTTGCTTAATGCACTTTTTGTCTTGCTCAAAATGAGCCCATACCTGAAAAAACGGTGATATATTTCATTCATGAACCGGTCTTTTTTGTAGTCTGATAAACGTACGAAAATGCCGTATGCAAATGAGGCCACACCTCCTCGCCGATTTTTTTTCACCTCCGAAGAGCCAAGGGGACATTCTTATATCGATAAACAGTGTTTTCAATGAAACGTAAACCTTGTAGTGCAATGAACTTCCAATTTTCACCAATTTTAAACAGAACAAAATGAGAAATAACTTACCATCAACCAAAACCGATATGAAACTGCAGAAAAAAATAATAACAGATTATATATTATAAATATAACAAATAAATTTAAAAAATTACATGAATTCGTTCAATTTGACATCTTGAAAAATCTATTAAAAATGTGAAATTTAAAAATAGTTGTTTTGATAATTAATTTGACGATCAAAGATATTTTTTATTCCAAACGAAGCTTTTGTTCTTGCAGGTCACTGTAAGGAATTTCTTTTTAGTGTATTCGAGTTATCTTTCTTTGAACACTAGTTTTTTGTTTCCTTTAGTAGAATGTATACATGTTTATGACAGTGATCCGTAATTTCAACAGTTTTCTGCCGATGTGAGTACGAAATCGCGGATGCTTCTTATGTGCGCGGAAACCAAGTTCAAGTATCCTGGTTGAAATATATGTGCTAGTTTTTGTGTACGAAGCTCGTACAATGTCACGTTAAGGTAGTATATATATATATATATATATATTGTATCTCCAGCCAAATAACAACGCAGACTGTATTTTCTGCGCTTGCAGGACAAAATCCGAGGCTCTCCGATTGTAAGTGAAAATACGCTGGAAAGTGAGAGATTAGAGATCGGGCTCTAGGCCTAGGATGTGTTCAGTAGACCGACGTCGTGCGGCGGCCGTTCTCGGGGCTGTCGTGGCGGATGCTGCAGGTAAAAGATGACATATTAAATATTATAGTAAATAGACGTTACTTCTGCATAGCATTGTGTGATTCCATGTTGATTTGTGATGAAATGGTATTTAACGGAATATTAAACAGTGGTCAAGTTAAATTATGTGGCCAGTGCCCCAGATGTTGACCCCAAAAAAGGGGTCAGGTTAAATTCTTTGGGCAGTGTACATGTCCCAGATGTTGACCCAAACAAACGTAATGAAAAAGGGAACTGATTTTATATACATTTGTTAGATTGTTTTTTGTTATGATGCTTTTAAAATATTGGATTTATTCATCCTTTCGAGGTATTGCATGATAACTTGTCGATAAATCACTTTTTTATGTTTCTTCTTTAAAAATGCAAACGATTACGGACTAAGATATCTTATCTAGATCAGTGCATGTACCAGCTGTGAAAAGTTTGTTTGATACAGTTTTTTTATATGCTTAAGTTACTACTATTATTAGATATAACATTCAAATGTGATGGGAAAAGTTTGTTTCGAATTAATGTTTTTTATATTGTTTCTTTTTACCTTTTTTCTTTGATGTTTTTACTTCTTGTATTTTTTTAAAGTGTTGTTTGGCCAAAAATGACATAATTTAATTTGATGGATCATAAAACAATTAAAAGCAAACAAAATATTTTATTTCCATTGCAAAGTCTCAATTTTATGATTATCTACATGACAATTTTTCCACTTCCTTTTTTTTTTTTTTAATAGAAAATACTGTTATTTTATTTTTTGTAATTTTCTTTTTATTCAAGATTTTTTTGGAATATATGGTTTATTTACATTCAAACAATTCATATTATATATTCAGACCTCACACGACTCATATTTACTCTTACTTACATCAGTTGATATATTTAGACACAAGTACATGCAATGGTACCCATGTACACATATATTGCCTTTATGTGAACAGAGAGAGAGAGAATAGAATATAAGAAGAAGGAAAAAAAATAGCAATGTAAAACGGAGAAAGTCAACAGAAAGAAGAAGGAAAAGGAGAAACTGGTTTTTGCACTGCAGCTCAATAATAAACAAACTTTATGTTTAGAATAAGATTGTAAGATAATCTTCTGTATTAATTGTAAGTAAGGTGCTTTAGGCTTTAAACTGCAAGTAAATACAGCCATATAAAGGTGACTGAGAAATGAGGGTAATACTCAGGACAAAATATATTTATATCATAAAAGAGATTAACTTTAATAAGTTCAGACAGAAACATCAACTTAGATTCACAAAAAAGGGACAAAAAAACTATATTTGGAGTTCAGGCAAGATTCCATACAGGTATGGTAAAAGGGACATAACTGCCAAAAAAACAGTCCTTGTGACAATTTAGTGTGTGCTGGCTACATGTATGTGCATCAGTGTATTTTTAAAATATAAAATGAGAACTATACTGTGGGAGGTGATGTATTGTATCTGCTGACTTGATGATATTAAATTATTTAATTTTGGCATATAATTCCAGGAGGTGGTTCCATTTTTTCCATTCTTTTTCCAGTTTTCTTACAAAATTATCCCCCTTGCAACATGCTATATATTTTTGTACAGAATGATTGTCTTTTATGCTGTTAATTAAAGCATTTACTGACAAATTGTTTTGAAGGCATCTTGTTTTATAAATATAGTGTTTGATCATAATTAAAATTTCATTATCTAGTCTGTTGCCTATTCCTGACTGGGACACTATTCCGAAAAGGAAGTAATTAAAGCTTCTAGTAATGTTTCAAAACTGTATAGGAAATTTTGTACAATGGCACACTCCCATCATGTATGAATTATTGTTTCCCTATCTAGATTACAAAAAACACATAAAGGATTATTAGAGAGACCGGCTTTGCATAGATATATATTTGTTGTCAAAATATGATGGAGAATTCTTACTTGGAGCCACTGGAGTTTTGTATTAGTAGTTGTGCGAAATGGAATTTGATATTATTTCTCCCATTTGTTGTCCCTAACGTCAAATATTTCTCCCCATTTCTTCCTACCAGTTGGAATAATCTTATTTTCAGAAAGTATTGCATAAAAGTCATTAGATCCTTTGGTGTTTTTGTAAAAAAAATCCAAATTAAGGGGAATCATTGGATACACTAAGTCTACAGTGGTATTATGCCCAATATTGTTTTGATTAATATATCTTCTAAGAGCTGACAGGATACCATAATACTGCAGAAAGTTTGTGTTTAAATTGTATTTGTTATTAAATTCATCATGTGTATAAAATGTATGTGTGGGGGAATTTTTTAGCAAATCATTAAAAATAGTAATTCCACATCTATACCATTAAGGATAAAATACACACTTCTGATTTATAGTTAAACTTTTATTATACCATAAAGGCAATTTTAAAAACGATTGTCCCTTTTCCCTTACAAGATCTTCCAAGACCGCCACGAGACTGATAGCCAGGAGGACTGAGAGGTGGGGCCAAAAGCAGTAATTTGGCCATATATTTCTATAAATAAAACATCTTCTCTGAAATTATGGCATTTATATGAAACAAGTTTGAATGACAACATTTTCAGGTGTGGATAAAGAGACCTGGCACCTCCCAAAGAGTCTTAGTTGCTAGGTCACAACATGGAAATTATTGAGATCTGTACCCTATAACCATATATACAATTACTGCCCCTGCCCATATATGGACGAAGTTCTTGGGTAATTAATAAAACCAACAGTTGAGATCCTGACCTATATTCATGGATAGACTCAAGCATCTCATCACGTCCAATTAGTCACTGGGTTACTGGGTCATATTTTTGAAACTCTGGACGATACACACCTGCGATCATGAAGATTTTGATACACACCTGTGACCATGAAGATTTTGATACACACCTGCGACCATGAAGATTTTGATACACATGATTGTCTCCATGGTCTAGCCCCAACTCTTGATACTTATTTTCAATATTTTGCTCCGATTACTTAAATATCAAGGTGAGCTGTGCAGGCCCTCTGAGCCTATTTGCTGTTAACTCATAATATGATGTTACAGTTGTATTAATTGTCACATTTTCAGTGTATGATCTAAAAAATGAAATTCTTAATTCTGTTATATAGCTCAGCCACTTCACTGGATTTATGACCTAAATAAACTGGACAATCTGATTGGTCAGGCAGAAGACATTGCATTCTGGGAGCCTTCTGCCAACCCTTATTACTGCATACAGACCGGTAGACAAAGTGGATATGGAGACCAAGCATTCGTAATTCTGAAATCATTGGTAGAAAATAAAGGTACAGAAGCTTTTACAACTATAAATGGGGACATAGTTGATAAAGTTGTCGATACTACTGCCCTGATTGGTTTAGGAATAGCAAGTTAAATCATTTGAAAAATTAAATTTCAACGATTAAGATAACATGCTTTGTAAACTAGCTCACTTGGAACAATGAAAAACAAAGCAAATAACCTGTATCTTTTTAAATATGTACAAATATGTTTTCTTTGGTTCCACCCTAGTTTACTCAGTGAGACTCGCAATGAAACACTTTATTATTAGAACTTTCAATCATTTAGACATATTTTGTAAAGTAAGATAACAGTGTTATGATATGACCTGTATGTATACCATTCCTTGATTAATTCATGATCAATATTTCGGTAAGTTAAAGTACTTCTAATGATCAACGATGAAATTACAACTGATACTCCATGCTACTTGACACATATCACAGGTGTTATACCATGATTCCCCACACTAGTCACATATCACAGGTGTGATACCATGATTACCCACACTAGTCACATACCACTGGTGGAATAACATGATTACCCACACTAGTCACATACCACTGGTGGAATAACATGATTTCCCGTACTAGTCACATACCACTGGTGGAATAACATGATTCCCCATACTAGTCACACACCACAGGTGTGATACCATGATTACCCACACTAGTCACATACCACTGGTGTAATAACACGATTCCCCATACTAGTCACATATCACAGGTGCGATAACATGATTCCCCACAAGAGTCACATACCACTGGTGGAATACCTTGATTCCCCACGCCAGTCACATACCACAGGTGCGATAACATGATTCCCCACACTAGTCACATACCACCGGTGGAATAACTTGATTCCCCACGCCAGTCACATACCACACGTGCAATAACTTGATTCCCCACACTAGTCACATACCACTGGCGGAATAACATGATTCCCCACACTAGTCACATATCACAAGTGTGATAACATGATTCCCCATACTAGTCACATATCACAGGTGGGATAACATGATTCTCCACACTAGTCACATACCACCGGTGTGATAACATGATTCCCCATACTAGTCACATATCACAGGCTCCATGCTACTTGACACATATCACAGGTGTTATTCCATGATTCCCCACACTAGTCTCATACCACTGGTGGAATAACATGATTACCCGCACTAGTCACATACCACTGGTGGAATAACATGATTCCCCACACTAGTCACATACCACAGGTGTGATAACAGGATTCCCCACACTAGTCACATATCACAGGTGTGATAACATGATTCCCCACGCTAGTCACATACCACAGGTGCGATAACATGATTCCCCACAAGAGTCACATACCACTGGTGGAATAACTTGATTCCCCACACTAGTCACATACCACTGGCGGAATAACATGATTCCCCACACTAGTCACATACCACAGGTGCGATAACATGATTCCCCACACTAGTCACATACCACCGGTGGAATAACTTGATTCCCCACGCCAGTCACATACCACAGGTGCGATAACATGATTCCCCACAAGAGTCACATACCACTGGTGGAATAACTTGATTTCCCACACTAGTCACATACCACTGGCGGAATAACATGATTCCCCACACTAGTCACATACCACAGGTGATACCATGATTACCCACACTAGTCACATATCACAGGTATGATAACATGATTCCCCACACTCGTCACATACCACTGGTGTGATAACATGATTCCCCATACTAGTCACATATCATAGGTGTGATAACATGATTCCCCACACTAGTCACATATCACAAGTGTGATAACATGATTCCCCATACTAGTCACAAACCACTGGTGTAATAACATGATTCCCCACACTAGTCACATACCACTGGTTGAATAACTTGATTCCCCACGCCAGTCACATACCACACGTGCAATAACTTGATTCCCCACACTAGTCACATACCACTGGCGGAATAACATGATTCCCCACACTAGTCACATACCACCGGTGGAATAACTTGATTCCCCACGCCAGTCACATACCACTGGTGGGATAACATGATTCCCCACACTAGTCACATACCACTGGTGGAATAACTTGATTCCCCACACTAGTCACATACCACTGGCGGAATAACATGATTCCCCACACTAGTCACATACCACAGGTGCGATAACATGATTCCCCACACTAGTCACATACCACTGGTGGAATAACTTGATTCCCCACGCCAGTCACATACCACAGGTGCGATAACATGATTCCCCACACTAGTCACATACCACTGGTGGAATAACTTGATTCCCCACGCCAGTCACATACCACTGGTGGGATACCATGATTCCCCATACTAGTCACATATCACATATGCTACTTTCTATTCTCAATTTTTGAAATAAAACATTTTCCTGCCTGGGATACAGCCTATATGCAGCTATAAAACTAGGCAAATACCCCACTTAATCGTCACACATCACAGTTGTGATGATTTTCTAAACTTAGATTTTAAAAATTAAACTAATGATATTTTGTTTCCTTTTTTTCCTTATGAAGGACTGGATATTCAGTCACTGAAGGATGCTACCTACAACTTCTTTGGGCCTGAGTCTGACTATGAGAACCCAGTGAATGCTGTCTACAAAGAGAAGTCAGGTTTGTCAGTGTAGCTCTCAGACTAACATCATACAGTGCTTCATTTATCACAGTTTCTATGGGGTCTTACATGAGTTTCCATTTCATATGAGATTTTTGAAACAAGTCGCTAAAATGAAAAATTTGTGACGAGTTTCATAAATTTCATATAAAATGAAAATGAGTGTAAGATCCTTTTCATCACATAATCAAGATTTATGGCATTTATTCGTGTTAAACGACAATTTTCATGCAACCTTGAAATGTAAAAAGCCGCCATTTTCACTCCAGTGCGTAAGTCTGATACGTCATGTTCTTGTCCTAGGCGTGGCGTCACAATTGAAACAATTGAAACTTACAACCAATCACAGGACTTATAGGTCATATTACATGGCTTAATACGCCAAAAAATAAGACATGGGTATATTCAAATTCTTATGGTATTCATGATAATGTTACCGAGCTTATGATATTCATGATAATGTTACCAAGCTTATGGTATTCATGATAATGTTACCAAGCTCAACTTAACTTTGAAATAAGTTCCAATAGTTTGTTGCATCTGACAAGAAAGCAAGTGTCAAACTACTGTTCTACTATAAATAGGCATTGAACAGTTACTCTCCTCTTATATTGATGTTATTTCCTCTTATCTGTATATTTTCCTTGTATAAACATGTCAAGGCTTCCTTGGCATGAAGAAATGAAAACAATCATGCTACAAGGACTAGCTCCAGTGTCAGACCCATCCCTGGGGACTTAGTCTCAGGGTTGCATCCCTGGCCCTTTAACCATATGCCCATACCGATATGGATCTCAACAAAATTCCCTGTGTATCATCCTTAGCACCTTGGAATCAATGGCTGTATAAAGGCTGAAGAGAAAAGCCCCAAATGGGTGATTTGGTTGTTTTAGTATTTAAAGAATTACTCCTATAAATTATGAGTTGATTATATTTCAACCAAATATGCTTTGAGGCGGCTTTAGGCTAAGGGAATTAAATATTATATAATAATAATTACTGAGCGTTACGTGGGGACAGAGCCCACAACGGAAAAAATATAGGTATTGATTTAACAAATATCGTGACTGTTATGGCAGTGGATAGGAATCCTGATTTACAATCAAAGGGTTCAGGAATTGAATCCTAATGTAGCAAAGCCAAAATTTTTTGGTGAAAAAATAATTTGTAATGATTTTTTTATTTTTTTTTATTTTTGCAAATATAACTCTTTGCTGTAGTAAATTGGAAAGCAACTTCCAGTGCAGACAATTGATTAACAAATTGGAATTCTTCTTTACTTGAAGTACAACACAGATCATTGAAACTCACTTAGTTACATATATAGATAAGTGTTCTTGTCTTTGTCATTGAAAATAAACAAAAACAATCTTTGACATTAACTGTAAGCTTTCACACTGACAAGATAGACTGGATGATTCTATATTATTCTGTAAAGGTTTTGAGATTTATAAATGTATCCCAACAGATGCTCAGAAGCAGACCTTCCCAATCAAAGGGCCCTGGAGACACTTTAGTGTGAAGGAGTTCCTAGTTAATCACAAGGCGGGGAATGAACAGACAGGTAAATACAAACCTGCTCAGACTCACAGTGTTCCTAGTTAATCACAAGGCGGGGAATGAACAGACAGGTAAATACAAACCTGCTCAGACTCACAGTGTTCCTAGTTAATCACAAGGCGGGGAATGAACAGACAGGTAAATACAAACCTGCTCAGACTCACAGTGTTCCTAGTTAATCACAAGGCGGGGAATGAACAGACAGGTAAATACAAACCTGCTCAGACTCACAGTGTTCCTAGTTAATCACAAGGCGGGGAATGAACAGACAGGTAAATACAAACCTGCTCAGACTCACAGTGTTCCTAGTTAATCACAAGGCGGGGAATGAACAGACAGGTAAATACAAACCTGCTCAGACTCACAGTGTTCCTAGTTAATCACAAGGCGGGGAATGAACAGACAGGTAAATACAAACCTGCTCAGACTCACAGTGTTCCTAGTTAATCACAAGGCGGGGAATGAACAGACAGGTAAATACAAACCTGCTCAGACTCACAGTGTTCCTAGTTAATCACAAGGCGGGGAATGAACAGACAGGTAAATACAAACCTGCTCAGACTCACAGTGTTCCTAGTTAATCACAAGGCGGGGAATGAACAGACAGGTAAATACAAACCTGCTCAGACTCACAGTGTTCCTAGTTAATCACAAGGCGGGGAATGAACAGACAGGTAAATACAAACCTGCTCAGACTCACAGTGTTCCTAGTTAATCACAAGGCGGGGAATGAACAGACAGGTAAATACAAACCTGCTCAGACTCACAGTGTTCCTAGTTAATCACAAGGCGGGGAATGAACAGACAGGTAAATACAAACCTGCTCAGACTCACAGTGTTCCTAGTTAATCACAAGGCGGGGAATGAACAGACAGGTAAATACAAACCTGCTCAGACTCACAGTGTTCCTAGTTAATCACAAGGCGGGGATTGAAGTAACAGGTAAATACAAACCTGCTCAGACTCACAGTGTTCCTAGTTAATCACAAGGCGGGGATGAGCAGACAGGTAAATACAAACCTGATTCTAAGTGTACAGGTAAATATATCTGGAAGGTATTACATATGTAGAGGCATGCTCTTACTTGACATGTATAGTAAATGTCTGTGATAGAAGTTTATGTATCTGATACGTTTAAACAATTACACACTTGAAGATTTGTCTATGTATTGTTTGCAGGGTCACCCACAGATGACCAGATAGACGGTGTTGTGCGTATTGTGCCTGTGGTAGCCATGTACGCTGGACACCCAGACATGTTGAACATGGCTGAGGAAGTGATTCGTGTCACGCAGGAGTCTGACTTTACTGTAGTGGTAGCTCTGTGTGCAGCAAGGTATTACATCTCCCTTATCAATACAGTAATATAATTACTGCTAAGAAACGGTTAACACAATCAACAAATCAAAAATGGTAATCGTATTTCATGGTATGACTTTGAAGGTTGTGTTTATAGATATACAATCATGTAATGTGTTTCAGGATTCTCGAGCATTTTATTCTGAATGGCCCCAGTGACCAAGTGTTGGAGGCAGTCATCAAACAAATGGAAGACCCACACAGGGCCAACCCTCAGGAACTGGACAGAGCAATGGTGGGCAAGCTTCGGGAAGTTCTCCATGGGCAGCAGGTTAACCACAGGGACATAGCCAAACAGCTACGAATAGACTGAGGTGTGGTAATACCGTATACACATAGAGTTAATTATAGTTGACCCAGCTCATGATCAAGTTCAACATGGATATGTTGTTAAACTCATTCACCCCTGAAATTTCATAATGGACTATTCAAACATTTGAATTGGGAGAGTTCAAATGTGTCTTCAGGGGTGAATGAGTTAAGATCCTTTTTGGATGCTGTGTACAGCATTCATAGCGGTCCTCGCCAAGCCTGGGTAAATCAAAACCAAACAACAGACTTTCTTCTTCGGCAGAAGATCTTTAAATGCTGTGTTGATTATTTCATGGTATGATTAATGCTATAAAATGTTGAAATACGTATGAAAACGATCAAAAAATCAAAGATTTTTTTTTCAATTTTACGAAAAAAGCGATTTTTTTAAGTGAGCATCATGAACTATATCAATGTCATATTACTACGCTTTTTGGACCGAATAATTTCTTCACAAAAAAAACAAACAACACTTTATCTCCTTCCGCGAAAGATCTTTAGATAATGCGTTCATTATTTCATGATACGATCAATGCTATAATATGGTAAAAAATATCTGCATAAGACAAAAAAAAATGTAAAGATCTTTAACAGTGGTGTTTTTCATCATTTTGGTTTGCAGGATTGTCTGGTCAAGGTCACTGTTACTATTTTTAAAAAGATCATTGTCTGCGCTGTAGCAGCTTCATTCCTTGATGGATTTCCTTCGATTTGAAACACTAATATAATTAAGGACCATAATAACAGACAAGTTTCAATTTCAGGGCTGTTGGGTCAAGGTCATCATTACTTATTTTTTTACTGTTAATGGTAGCCAGTAAGGGACCTATATTGTTTTAGAAATACTCGTTACTTGTTGCTTGTTATATTTTTTTTATTGAAAATTTTGATTAAGGGATGGGCTATTATGACCCTTACTCTATATTATTTACTGCCATTCTGTACTGATATACCACCTCCGTTATTCCATTATTTGAATCCTTCATACACAGCATCCCTGAGTGGCCTTGGCACTTTGATTTGTTGTTGTAGTCATGCCAGGGTCTTTTCAACTGGCTGTTCATGGAGTGATTGCCCACACTGACTACACTGCTGCGATCAAAGCCACAATGCGTAATGGGGGCTGTACCAGCTCCCGGTCAGGATTCATAGGGGCCTGCCTGGCAGCTCAGGTAAATCATAGGTGTAATAACATAGGGGCCTGTCTGGCAGCTCAGGTAAGTCATAGGTGTAATAACATAGGGGCCTCTCTGGCAGCTCAGGTAAATCATACGTGTAATAACATAGGGGCCTGTCTGGCAGCTCAGGTAAGTCTTAGGTATAATAACACAGGGGCCTGTCTCACACCTCAGGTAAGTCTTAGGTGTTATGGTCAGGAGAGTTATGATATAGGGAACTGTCCCACTGCTAACATAGGTCTAAGGCGTTATAAAATAGGGCCTGTCTCACACATCAGATGAGTCTTAGGTTTAACAAAATAAGAGGCCTGTCTCACACCGCAGATGAGTCTTAGTTTTAACAATATAGGGGCTTGTCTCACATCTCAGATGAGTCTTAGGGTTAACACTATAGGGGCTTGTCTCACAGCTCAGATAAGTCTAAGGTGTAACAACAAAGGGGCTTGTCTCACACCTCAGACGAGTCTTAGGTTTAACAACATAGGGACTTGTCTCACAGCTCAGATGAGTCTTAGGTTTAACAATATAGGGGCTTGTCTCACACCTCAGATGAGTCTTAGGTTTAACAATATAGGGGCTTGTCTCACACCTCAGATGAGTCTTAGGTTTAACACTATAGGGGCTTGTCTCACATCTCAGATGAGTCTTAGGTTTAACACTATAGGGGCTTGTCTCACAGCTCAGGTAAGTCTAAGGTGTAACAACAAAGGGGCTTGTCTCACACCTCAGACGAGTCTTAGGTTTAACAACATAGGGACTTGTCTCACAGCTCAGATGAGTCTTAGGTTTAACAATATAGGGGCCTGTCTCACAGCTCAGATAAGTCTTAGGTGTAACAACATAGGGGCCTGTCTCACAGCTCAGATAAGTCTTAGGTTTAACAATATAGGGGCCTGTCTCACACCTCAGACGAGTCTTAGGTGTAACAATATAGGGGCCTGTCTCGCAGCTCAGCTTAATCTTAGGTTTAACAATATAGGGGCTTGTCTCACACCTCAGATAAGTATTAGGTTTAACAACATAGGGGCTTGTCTCACACCTAAGATGAGTCTTAGGTTTAACAATATAGGGGTCTGTCTCACAGCTCAGCTTAGTCTTAGGTGTAACAACATAGGGACTTGTCTCACACCTCAGATGAGTCTAAGGTGTAAGAGCATAGGGGCCTGTCTCACCCCTCAGATGAGTCTTAGGTTTTACAATATAGGAGCTTGTCTCACAGCTCAGGTAAGTCTAGGGTTTAACAATATAGGGGACTGTCTCACAGCTCAGCTTAGTCTTAGGTGTAACAACATAGGGGCCTGTCTCACACCTCAGATAAGTCTTTGGTGTAATAATTCAGGGGCCTTTCTCACACCTCAGATGAGTCTTAGGTTTAACAACATAGGGGCCTGTCTCACACCTCAGATGAGTCTTAGGTGTAACAGCATAGGGGCCTGTCTCACAGCTCAGGTAAGTCTTTGGTTTAACAACATAGGGACTTGTCTCACACCGCAGATAAGTCTAAGGTGTAACAGCATAGGGGCCTGTCTCACAGCTCAGGTAAGTCCTAGTTGTAACAACATAGGGACTTGTCTCACACCTCAGATGAGTCTTATGTTTAACAAAATAAGAGGCCTGTCTCACACATCAGATGAGTCTTAGGTTTAACAAAATAAGAGGCCTGTCTCACACCTCAGATGAGTCTAATGTTTAACAAAATAAGAGGTCTGTCTCACCCCTCAGATGAGTCTTAGGTTTAACAACATTGGGGCTTGTCTCACACCTCAGATGAGTCGTATGTGTAATAACACAGGTGCCTGTCTCACACCTCAGATGAGTCTAAGGTTTAACAAAATAAGAGGTCTGTCTCACCCCTCAGATGAGTCTTAGGTTTAACAACATAGGGGCCTGTCTCACCCCTCAGATGAGTCTTAGGTTTAACAACATAGGGACTTGTCTCACACCGCAGATAAGTCTAAGGTGTAACAGCATAGGGGCCTGTCTCACACCTCAGATGAGTCTTAGGTTTAACAATCTCAGATGAGTCTTAGGTTTAACAATATAGGAGCTTGTCTCACAGCTCAGGTAAGTCTAAGGTGTGACAACATAGGGGCTTGTCTCACACCTACGATGAGTCTTAGGTTTAACAATATAGGAGCTTGTCTCACAGCTCAGGTAAGTCTAAGGTGTAACAACAAAGGGGCTTGTCTCACACCTCAGATGAGTCTGAGGTTTAACAATATAGGGGCCTGTCTCGCACCTCAGATAAGTCTTTGGTGTAATAATACAGGGGCCTGTCTCACACCTCAGATGAGTCTAAGGTGTAACAGCATAGGGGCCTGTCTCACAGCTCAGATGAGTCTTAGGTTTAACAATATAGGGGACTGTCTCACACCTCAGATGAGTCTTAGAATTAACAACATAGGGGCTTGTCTCACACCTCAGATGGATCTTTGGTGTAACAGCATAGGGGCTTGTCTCACAGCTCAGGTAAGTCTTAGGTTTGACAACATAGGGACTTGTCTCACACCTCAGATGAGTCTTAGGTGTAACAGCATAGGGGCCTGTCTCACAGCTCAGATGAGTCTTAGGTTTAACAATATAGGAGCTTGTCTCACAGCTCAGGTAAGTCTAAGGTGTAACAACATAGGGGCTTGTCTCACACCTCAGATGAGTCGTAGGTGTAATAACACAGGGGCCTGTCTCACACCTCAGATGAGTCTAAGGTTTAACAAAATAAGAGGTCTGTCTCACACCTCAGATGAGTCTTAGGTTTAACAATATAGGGGCCTGTCTCACCCCTCAGATGAGTCTTAGGTTTAACAACATTGGGGCTTGTCTCACACCTCAGATGAGTCTGAGGTTTAACAATATAGGGGCCTGTCTCACACCTCAGATGAGTCTTAGGTTTAACAACATAGGGGCTTGTCTCACACCTCAGATAAGTCTTTAGTGTAACAGCATAGGGGCTTGTCTCACAGCTCAGGTAAGTCTTAGGTGTAACAATATAGTGGCTTCTCTTACACCTCAGATAAGTCTTTTGTGTAACAACATAGAGGCCTGTCTCATAGCTCAGAAAAATATTAGGTGTAACAATATAGGGGCCTGTCTCACAGCTCAGGTAAGTCATAGGTGTAATAACACAGGGGCCTGTCTGGCAGCTCAGGTAAGTCATAGGTGTTATAACACAAGGGCCTGTCTGGCAGCTCAGGTAAGTCTTAGGTGTAATAACATAGGGGCCTGTCTGGCAGCTCAGTCAAGTCTTAGGTGTAATAACAAAGGGGCCTGTCTCATAGCTCAGATAAGTCTTAGCTGTAACAATATAGGGACACTGATTACAGTAATGATGTTTTTGTTGTCTCTATTACAGTATGGTGTAGATGTTATTCCTGACTCCTGGAAGGAGAAGACTCTAAGATATATAGAAAATGTAGAACTTACGGAGGAACTCTACCAAGTAACACCTCAGTAAAATGGAGCTATACCAAGTAACACCTCAGTAAAATGGAGCTATACCAAGTAACACCTCAGTAAAATGGAGCTATACCAAGTAACACCTCAGTAAAATGGAGCTATACCAAGTAACACCTCAGTAAAATGGAGCTATACCAAGTAACACCTCAGTAAAATGGAGCTATACCAAGTAACACCTCAGTAAAATGGAGCTATACCAAGTAACACCTCAGTAAAATGGAGCTATACCAAGTAACACCTCAGTAAAATGGAGCTATACCAAGTAACACCTCAGTAAAATGGAGCTATACCAAGTAACACCTCAGTAAAATGGAGCTATACCAAGTAACACCTCAGTAAAATGGAGCTATACCAAGTAACACCTCAGTAAAATGGAGCTATACCAAGTAACACCTCAGTAAAATGGAGCTATACCAAGTAACACCTCAGTAAAATGGAGCTATACCAAGTAATACCTCAGTAAAATGGAGCTAGTCATAATTACAATGGGGTTCTGTTATAATGTTACTGTTATGTCTGATATAGCAGTGAGGTCATTGCTGGGGCCATGCCTGTTACAGATACTCAAACAAACTGAGGTTACCCAAAAGGGATACTGAATTGGAGCTAATGAAGATTACATCCTAATCTCTACATACGGAGAGGATGAAATCTGAAATGCACATTTGACCTTTTTTAAGTTAATTGTTGAGCTTGTTTTTGAAGTAATGTTACAATATAAATAGACTGTGATCATGTGTTTGATGACATAGAAAATGTCTGTCAATTTTATAAATAGTAATCAAAAACTGTGTGTAAGTTAGTTTATTTGTACCCTACTAGGTCGTATAGTTTATTTGTAACCTACTACGTCGTATAGTTTATTTGTACCCTACTACGTCGTATAGTTTATTTGTACCCTTCTACGTCGTATAGTTTATTTGTACCCTACAACGTAGTATAGTTTATTTGTACCCTACTACGTCGTATAGTTTATTTGTACCCTACTACGTAGTATAGTTTATTTGTACCCTACTACGTAATAAAGTTTATTTGTACCCTACTATGTAGTATAGTTTATTTGTACCCTACTACGTAGTATAGTTTATTTGTACCCTACTACGTAGTATAGTTTATTAGTACCCTACTACGTAGTATAGTTTATTTGTACCCTACTACGTAGTATAGTTTATTAGTACCCTACTATGTAGTATAGTTTATTTATACCCTACTACGTCGTATAGTTTATTTGTACCCTACTACGTAGTATAGTTTATTTGTACCCTACTACGTAGTATAGTTTATTTGTACCCTACTACGTAGTACTAACAGAAGGGCTCTCTTCATATAACGGTAGATGTAGCAAGGACATCAACCTTGAACAAAACTGAACAGAAATCAAAACCAGAAGGTTTATACTCGCTCTGTATTCTTTCTTCTGTTTGTCCTTCTGTCCCATAAGTTTTTAGGTCACCTAAGCTTTGCTCAAGTGACCTATTCCAATGGCTTTTCGTCCGTCGTCGTCCATCATCCGTCGTCCGTCGTGCGTCGTGCGTAAACTTTTACATTTTCAACTTCTTCTCAAGAACCAGTGGATGGATTTTTTTCAAACTCGGTCAGAATCATCCTTGGTAGATGAGGCTTCAAAATTGTAAAATTGGGATTCCTACCCCAACCCCTGGGGCCAGGGCGGGGCCCCAAAGGGAAAATTAATCAATATTTCAAAAATCTTCTTCTCCAGACTCAGAGGTACTACAGTGATTTTCTCTACGTGGAAAGAAAGATCATCAGGGGCTTTACTTAAATTGTAAATTTCAGGACCCCCGAGCTATCCGTTCTCCCTTGGGGAGGGGGTAAAGTTTACTATAGTTTATATAGGGAAATAACACTTTTGGGTATATTTTGACAACTTTCTGTAGGAAATTATTTTTACTTGGTGAGAATTATCCTTGGAGGTAGATGGTTTCAAATTGTAAAATTGAGATTCCTACCCCGACCCCTGGGGCCAGGGCGGGGCCCCAAAGGGAAAATTAATCAATATTTCAAAAATCTTCTTCTCCAGACTCAGAGGTACTACAGTGATTTTCTTTACGTGGAAAGAAAGATCATCAGGGGCTTTATTTAAATTGAAAATATCAGGACCCCGAGCTATCCGTTCTCCCTTGGGGAGGGGTTAACGTTTAATATAGTTTATATAGGGAAATAACACTTTTCGGTATATATTTTATCCATTTTCAGCAGAAAATTGCTCAAACTTAGTCAGAATCATCTTGGGTAAATGAGAGTTTTACTTTGTAAAATTAGGATTCCTGCCCCATCCCCAGGGGCTAGGGCGGGGCCCCAAAGGGAACATTTACCAATATTTTCAAATTCTTATCCATTGATGACATGACAAGTATTGTATTTCACTTAGTTTACATGCTGATTTCCACATCACATCTAAACAATAAAATAAAGCTACCAGTACCTATGATATAACTCAGGTGACCGCTAAGGCCCTTGGGCCTCTTGTTTATGAGGGCACCTCTCAGATACAATTTCACTGATGCTCGACAAATTTGATTATAATGTCAAATAACAAAATGAAGATTATGTGACCTATATTGATTGTTGTTAAGTCATTAAGCCATAAGAAATAAACCTTACATGAACTTCTAGGTAACAGTATACATTCTGTTGAACTGGTTTATTCTGAGAAAATTTAAGAGAAACTCAACTGGCAGGAAAGTATGAATTACCTTGCAATACTCTGACATATTTCCTTACTATATTTGTATAAATATAGATGCTCGATGTACTTCAATATGTAAATACTGTTTTAATTTTGTAGATGGTATTTAACTTTTTAGTCATGTGATTGACAAATGATGTGAAATAAAATATCAAACCCTTTAGTATATTGTGGTTGTGTTATATATAATTACACTCTGACAAAAGCGAGTTTCTAAAGTCAAATGTCACATGTCAAGTCACCCAATTACTCCAACCCGAAGGGTCCAGGTGAATAGTTCCAGGAATACATGGTATACGGTTTAGTTAATGATACCACAGCCTGTGCTTGAGACATGTTAACGGCAATGCCCGTACCTGTGAAATACAGGTAAAATATCTGTCAGGCGTGACAGGTCAAACCTGTTCGACGAATAGATAGGATTAATACTATGACCATGAAGGTCGGGCACAAATTTTTGTTCGAGGAATACGGAGTATTTGGGGAATAACTCTTCGACTAATCTGGGGTTACTTTACATAGAATATGTACGAACTTGGTCGGGGCCAAACAAACTTTTCGACGAATGAGGGGTTTTCTTCAAGTTAACCATATTCGAGGAAGTGGGGTTTTACTGTACTTAACATGTTTTCCTTAACTTCAGCAATGTTTTGCTAAACAAAAACTTCAGAAGATATATGTGAAACTAGTGTCAAAACGTTATATATGTCCGATATCTACATTATCTAGGTCACCAGGTTAATGTTACATGACTGGAAGCATTCCTAGGTGATAGGGATTCAAAATTGTACAAATAGTGGGTCTGAGGGGTGGGGCCAAAAGGGGGGCAATTTGGCTATATTGCTTTAAGCGACTTCTTCTCTGGAACTAAGAAATGGATATCAACCATATTTGACTGGAAGCATCCCTAGGTGATGAGGATTGAAAATTGTACAAATGGTGGGGCTGAGGGGCAGGGCCAAAAGCAGGCAATTTGGCTTTATTGCCTTAAGCGACTTCTTCTCTGGAACTAAGAGATGGATATCAACCATATTTGACTGGAAGCATCCCTAGGTGGTGGGGATTCAAAATTGTATAAATGGTGGGGCTGAGCCAAAAGGGGGCAATTTGTCTATATTGCTTTAAGTGACTTCTTCTCTGGAACTAATAGATGGATATCAACCATATTTGACTGGAAGCATCCCTAGGTGGTGGAGATTCAAAATTGTACAAATTTTGGGGCTAAGGGGCGGGGCCAAAATAAGTTTATCACTTGGAAATGGTTGATATCCCCACCGTATAACCATATATACAATTGCTGAGTATGAAGAGAAGAATGCAGTTGCTTCCAGGATGGCCCCACCCTTGGAGACATAGTCCCTGGGTCATAACTTTGAAACGGTTGAGATCCCCTCCCCAAAACTATATATACAAATGCTGGGCATAAAGAGACGAATGCAGTCATGATAATAGAATAGACACTGGGGTCTGACTGAAACCCTAGGGACCTAGTTTCTTAGTCACAGCTTGGACACAGTTGAGATCCCCACCCTATAACCATATATACAATTGCTAAGTACATGTATAAAGAAATGAATGCACATATGCTTCCAGGATGGCCTTGGGATCTGCCCCACCCTTGGAGACTTAACCCCTGGGTCATAACTTTGAAATGGTTCAGATCCCCACCCCAAAACTATGTTTACAATTGTTGGGCATAAAGAGACTAATGCAGTCATGATATTAGAATTGATCCCAGGGTCTGCCCCACCTGTGCAGACTTAATCCCTGGGTCATAACTTAGAAACGGTTGAGATCCCCACCCCAAAACTACAAATGCTGGGCAAAAAGAGACGAATGCAGTCATGATATTAGAATTGATCCTGGATTGGCCTTGGGGTCTGGCATATTCCCTTGGATCTCATTTGGAGAATATTTTGCCATGATTGCTTAGATATCCAGGTGAGCGATACAGGTCCTCTAGGCCTCTTGTATAGGTCACCAGGACAGTGTAAAATTTATGGAAACTTGGTCATTAGAAATATAATCTACTCAGTGACACATGTTGCTAAAATCTCATGAAACACAAAGCCAGATGGATTTTCAGGTTTTTATTGCTTCCATATTTTAAATAGTTATATCGGTTCTGCTCAAACCAACCAAAGCAAAAACTTATAATAAGGGTCAGCTGTTTGACCCATCCACTGGTAAATTATCTATTGGACAATTCAGAGAGGAATTGTTCAGCCACATATCAATGCAGTTTGTGTGAAAGACATGATTACAGGGGAGGAATTTCCTGGGTTGTCCCAGGGTATACTGTTCCATACAGATAGCACAGGTGTCATTGACACAGCTCTCATTAACGGTGTCAGTCCTGAAGGATTCCAGAACGTTTTGCTCTAATGTTTTTGGTGCTACACTCTCATCAAGTTGGAGAAGTGTCTCATAGTCCTCTGGTGTGATGTCCCTTTGTTGAAGAGTGATGAGGAGATTCACAAGTGCATTGTCGAGGTCCTGGGCAGCATTGTTATTGTCAATGGCATAGGCCAAGTTTTGTGCCGGTGACCTGTGCTGAGGTCTGTTGTTTACTGGACGGACTGCAGTATTGGCAGCACGTCTTATTTCTGTCATCTCCTCACACTTGATACCTAGTCTTCCTCTCCTTCGACTGGGCATGTAGGAATATCTCTGCAGCTCCAGATGCATGAGTTTAAAAACTCGATGATGAATGTAAAAACGTTTGCGTCCATGATTGTTTCTCACACTTGTACAATACTTGTCCTTTACTTGAATGTGAGCTTTTTTAATTTTCCTGTCTCTATCACAATGTGTATATTTAGCAAGTTTTGCGCATTTTCCCTCCATTTCTAATTCTTTATTATAGGGTGCAACTAAATCTTCAAAGTCATCTAGACTTTGTTCTGCTGCATGGTATTGTTCTAAGGCTCTATCACTGGTGTCTGTAGGATTATGACATGGTCGGGGGAAAAGGGAAACATTTAAAAAAGAAAATTCTGCTGAAATATTTCTCCTTTTTTCCTTCTTAGCATTTTTAACACCATTCTTTCTATGCTTTTGAATGTTTACTTTTGATTTAACTTTTATGCAGTATTTATCCATTTCGCTTTGAATGTCAGATTTCCTCACATTTGTTGCAAAAATAGCAATGTTTAAGATTGTTCCCGTATCATCATCTGCATCTTCAGTTTGATCATCTTCCTCTACATTATCATCCTCATCATCCTTGTTGTTTATCATTTCCACGTGCTCCGGTTCTGTAAGAATAAAGAAAATTGTTTACAATTGTGGCAGATTTTAATTGTACATAGGGTTATGCATGGTTGCTTAGCTTTTAGTTTCGCACTAGAGGGAATTTCCGTTAAAATCAATGGAAAAGCTTCCAATTATGAACCCAGGGAATGCAGATTTGATCCTTGTTTGAAGAAGACTACTCTCTTTCCTGTTACAACTGGTGTCTGTGGCCTTCCCTGAGGTGACGGGAGGGAGTTAGAATCTGGGTTGTGGTGTTTAAGGGTGAACATATTTAAAAAGGAGGAAGAGTGTGGCAAATTTTACCTGTACATAGGATAATGGTTGCCTTCTAGCTTCGTGCTAGAGGGAATTTCAATTTAGCTCAGTGGTAGAGCATTCGACTTGGCGATCGTGGGTTCGATTCCCGGTGAAAGCACACTATCCTCTCTCTCCTGTTACACAATTATGAATATTTGTTTCTATTAAGAATTAAAACTCCTGAAGGAAATCGTTAAGGTTTAACATATAAATCAAATCAAAGCATCATCTTTTTTGGGGGGGAAGGGAGTTGACTTTCTCTACCTCCTTCATCTCAAAATCAATTCATAATATTACATGTACAGTAAGTGCAGACAGTTAGTTGAGTTGGGTGAAAATTTGGATATTGATGATGAAAAAAAATGAAATCATCTGAAAATTATGTTCGCACTTGTCCACTGTAAGACGTTGCATGTACAATGCACACTGCACGGTAACCATGGAGGTACCAAACTCGTGAACAAAGTGAAAGTAGGTCGGTCTAACAAAATAAAGTATGCCCCTGTACTGACCTGTTAGTCGTTGCTGATTGTTTGTTGTTTCTGAAGGAAACTCCTTGTAGTCTGTCCTTTCAAAATTATGAGCATTCGACGCTTGTAAAAATAAATTGTCATTGAAATCGCTTCCAAAAGTGGACATAGGCGATGGACAGACTTTGCCGTCTCCTGACATCACGGTGTCTGAAAATGAGATATCCTCGACCGATCGGGAAGTTAGTAAAAGAGACGCCATGCCATCTGTCTTCTGTTGAGCGGCTTCCAACCGGAGAAGCCGGCTAATGCAAATGGCGTTGGCTTACTCATTGCAACTTATTTATACCGTTGACATTGCACAACCGTCAGGTAACGTATAGAAATTCTATTTACAGACACTGACAACATGTTATTGATGCTAAATTTAGAACATTCGTTTTGATTGGATAAAAATAATATCGCGAGACTTCACTAGACTCTTTGCAAACGGAATCCCCTAAGTTATATTTAGACAGGACAACACACCAGCATGCTTCAACAGGAAAATGAAGCCGGGTCATTCATATATCAGCACCCAAAAGTTGGTATACTAACCGTGAGACCAAGTCACTAGGACATAGTTTGTTTACTAACCGTGAGACCAAGTCACTGGGACATAGTTGGTATACTAACCGTGAGACCAAGTCGACACTGTGACATAGTTGGTATATACTACAGTGGCGGATCCAGAGGGTTTTTTTGGGCTTCAGGACC